GCACTCGTGCGGATACACTCGTTGATTAACAGAGACGTAAAGGCAAGTCACTGGAGAAGTAATAGAGTTTTCAATAAAAAGTGCTAGAATGACTGGCTCTCCATATGCCAAAAAAAAGAACTTTGATCCGTATCTAACCTCAGCGGTTAAGTGTTTGGCTGCTAACCAGAAGTTCCAAGTTCGTAATGCATTCTTAAAATTGGCTCACGCAACTTCTCTCCTGTAATTTTGTTTATAGCATCTTATCTCCACACCCATCGCATTCCCACCACCCTGCCCGATGTATCTCACTTGGTTTCTGTTTACTCTTGCAAAGCAGGCACTCAAATTCTGTGTGCATATTTTTTAAAATCATGTCATTGGTATGGTACAATCAATTGTGGTTTTTCCTCGGGACTTGAGTTTTAGGGTTCATCGACGTGTGTTACTTCTAACTGCTCTGCAGTACTGGATGATGTGCTCACCCCTCTACTTTTAGGGATGGACCCTGGATGGCCTCCAGCTCCCCACCTCGAACACATGACTCTGCAGCACACTTTCCTGTACATGATGTCCTCCCGTCCTATGGGAGATTTATTTGGGAAAGATACACACGAGCAGAATTACTCTAATACATGTGTATTTGTGAAGCAAAATGGCTAAGTGCTTGGCTGGTAACCAAAAGGCTGACAGCTCAAACCCACTCAGCAGCTGGGCAGGAGGAAAGACCCAGAGACCTCCCATAAAAATTACAGCTTAGAAAACCCGATGGGGCAGTTCTCTCTGCCACATGGGGTCACTATGAGTTGAGACTTGACTAGACCGCACCGAAACACAACAGCGATGTATGTAAACATTTGGCTCAATAGTGCTATGCTGCTTTGTAATCAATTTCTTACTTTTTTCTTTTTTTTATTGATTTTTTTTTTTTTGGTACTTTAGATGAAGGTTTACAGAGCAAACTAGTTTCTCATTAAACTATTAGTACACGTATTCTTTTATGACAATGGTTGACAACCCCACAACATGTTAACACGCTCCCTTCTGGACCTTGGGTTCCCCTTTATCAGCTTTCCTGTCCCCTCCTGCCTTCTCGTCCTTGCCCCTGGGCTGGTGTGCCCATTTAGTCTGGTTTTGTTTTATGGGCCTGTCTAATCTTTAGCTGAAGGGTGAACCTCATTAGTGACTTCATCACCGGGCTATAAGAGTGCCCAGGGGCCATACTCTTGGGGTTTCTCCAGTCTCTGTCAGACCAGTAAGTCTGGTCTTTTTTTGTGAGTTAGAATTTTGTTTTTCATTTTTCTCCAGCTCTGTCCGGGACCCTCTATTGTTATTCCTGTCAGAGCAGTCGGTGGTGGTAGCCGGGCACCTTCTGGTTGTGCTGGACTCAGTCAGGTGGACCCTGTGGTAGTTGTGGTCCACTAGTCCTTGGGACTGATCTTCCCTTGTGTCTCTGGTTTACTCGGTGGAATCTTAAAGTATGTAAGCTTTTGTCTCTGGCTTCTTTCACTCAGCTTAGTTATTCTGAGATTCACACATGTTGTCATCCGTGTCAAAAGTCAGCTGTATCGTGTGGCTATACCACGATGTGTTTATCCACTCACATCTCAGTGGACCTTTGGGTTGTTTCCATTTTTTCACTATTAAAAATAACCCTATTATAAGCCTTTGTGTACAAGTCTTTTTCACTTCTCTCAGTGAATATCAAGGGATGGATTGGCTGTTTCATGTGGCAGGTGTGTATTTAGCTTTTAAAGAAATTGCCAATTTTTTTTTTCTAAAGTGATTACACATTTCACATTCCCACCAGCAGCGTGTGGGTTACAGTTCTACACCCTTGTTGATACTTAATATGATCTTTTTAGGTATATGAATACTGAGTATACCATGGTCTGCCAAAATAACAAACAAATCTGTCTTGGAAGAAGTACAGCCAGAACGCTCCTTAGAAGCAAGAATGGCGAGACTTCATCTCACATACTTGGGACATGTTATCAGGAGGGATCAGTCCCTGGAGAAGGACATCATGCTTGGTAAAGTGGAAGGTTAGCGAAAAAGAGGAAGACCCTCAACAAGATGGATTGACACAGTGGCCGCAGCAATGGGCTCAAGTATAACAATGATCATGAGGATGGCACTAGAGCAGGCAGTGTTTTGTTCTGTTGTACACGGGGTCACTATGACTTGGAACTGACTTGACGGCACCTAACAACAACAACGACAACAACAGGTACACAGAGTCCTGGTGGCGCAGTGGTTAAGACGTCAGCTGCTCACCAAAAGGTCAACAGTTGGAATCTACCAGCTGCTCCTTGGAAACCCTATGGGGCAGTTCTACTCTGTCCTGTAGGATCACTATGAGTTGGAATCAACTCAATGGCAATGGGTTCTTTTAACAGGTATGCAGGAGTGTCTTAGTCATCTAGTGCTGCTATAACAGAAATACCACAAGTGGATGGCTAACAAACAGAAGTTTATTCTCTCACAGTCTGGTAGTCTAGAAGTCCAAATTCAGGGTGCCAGCTCCAGGGCAAGGTTTTCTATCTCTGTAGGCTCTGGAAGAAGGTCCTTGTCATCAATCTTCCTCTGATCTAGGAGCTTCTCAGCACAGGGATCTCAGGTCCAAAGGATGCACTCTGCTCCTGGCACTACTTTCTTGTGGTATGAGGTCCCCTTCAGCTTTGGGCAGTGGATCTGGCCCCATCCTACTGGGACTCGTGAACAGCAGCTCCACACTCCAGAACGGAGTTGGTAAAGATCTGCCTCTTTGAAACCTAGGAGGCTGTGGCTTCCCCCTTGAAGCACCAGAGGCCATGGTCTCTCCCTTTGAAACCCCAGAGGTCGTGGCCCTACTCTTTGAGACTGAGGCAGCTCTGCTTCCTGTGCTCCTTGTCTCTTCAGCTTCAGCTTCCTGGTTCGTTGGCCCCTCAGCCCCTCGGGCCTTGCCTCCCACATCTGCCCTGCTTGGGCAAGTGCTCCAAAGCTCTTTAGCTCCACCGGTAAGTGCCTGGAGGCACCGCACTCCACCAGGAAGCCTTCAGTGCAAAGGCATTCAGCTCTCTTGCTGCGTAGGTCGGCTCCAGCACTGTCTCACGCTGGTCTCCTGGTTCTGCTGCTGCCGTTTCTCTGATGCTGCTTCTGCTGTCTGCACCGCCTCTAGTGTAATAGCTCTCCTCACTTCCTTCTGAGTCCTCACCAGAATTATCTGACTTTCACAATTCTACCAACAGTCTCTTCAAGAAAATCTAGCCTTTTACTAGGGGTATCTCACTGTGGTTTTAGTTTGCATTTCCCTACTGACTAAGGCTGTTGAGCATTTCTTCATGTGCTTATTTGCCATTTATATCTTCTATGGTGAAGTGTCTGTTCAAATCTTTTGCCCATTTTTTTTTTTAAACCAGGTTGTTGGTTTTCTTATTATGAAGTTTAGAGAGTTTTTTATAGATTCTGAATATTAGTTATCAGATGGATGATTTGCAAATATTTTTTCCTGGTCTGTGACTTATCTCTTCATTCTCTTCATGGTATCTTTCAAAGGACAGAAGTTTTTAATTTTGATGAACTCCCAACTTATCAATATTTTCTTTTATGGATGATAATTTCAGTGTTATGTCTAAGAAATCTAGGCCTAATCAAAGGTCACAAAAATTTTCTACTAGAGGTTTTAGGTTTTACATTCAGCTCTACGAGACTCACTGGAGTTAAATTGTGTGTATAGTGCAAGGTACGGATTACAGTTCTGTTTTGTTGCATATGCATATTCAATTGTTCCCGAACTAGTTGTTGAAAATACTGTCTTTTTTTTCACTGAATTGCCTTTGCACGTCTGTTGAAAATCACCTGTTGATACAGTGTGGGTCTATTTCAGGACTTTATTCCCTTCCATCCATTTGTCTGTCTTGATGCCAATACCATGCTGTTCAGATTATTGTAGAATACCAAAAAAAAAAACCAAACCTGTTGCCGCCGAGTCAATTCCAACTCATAGCGACCCTACAGGACAGAGGAGAACTGCCCCGTCGGGTTTCCAAGGAGTGGCTGGTGGATTCAAACTGCCAACCTTTCGTTCTTAACCACTTTGCCGCCAGGGCTCCTACTGTGTAATGTTGTTGTTAGGTGCTGTCGAGTCGGTTCTGACTCACAGCGACCCCGTGTACAACAGAACGAAACACTGCCCGGTCCTGCGCCATACTCTCAATCGTTGTTATGCTTGAGCCCCTTGTTGCAGCCACAGTGTCAGTCCATCTCCTTGAGGATCTTCCTCTTTTTCACTGACCTTCTACTTTACCAAGCATGATGTCCTTCTCCAGGGACTGGTCCCTCCTGATAACATGTCCAAAGTACGTGAGACAAAGTCTCGCCTCCTTGCTTCTAAGGAGCATTCTGGCTGCACTTCTTCCAAGACAGATTTGTTCATTCTCTGGCAGTCCATGGTATATTCAATATTCTACTCTGCTGAATATTTGAGAGGGACTCACTGGAGATCTCCAGAGTTCTTTCTCCTCTCTCGTGCTCTGTCCTTGCCTTATGTCAGGTCAAGCTGCCGTGCAGGTGTTAGGTCTGGCTGCAGCCACCTGCACCCTGAGCAAGGCTCTTGGGGACAGTTCTACCTGTGTGAATGCAGCCACTTACTGTGGACAGGCCCATGGGTGCAGTCACCTCAGGGCCTGCATCCAAGGTCATATCTAGGATGCCCCAACAAGAGCCTTTTCTGTTGCTCAGCTTTGAACAGGAGCGATGGGGCTTGCCGGTGAGTCAGGGGTGGGTTCCGCTTCCCCCTGCTGACCCAGAATTGTGGGCAGCCTGCTTCCTGACCTGGCCTCGTTTCTGGTGACCAACAGGCATTTCTGAGCACGGCTCAGAGGTGGGTCTGCCTCTCACCATGGGCTGGTTCCCCAACTGCACTGGGGCGAGGCAGTGAGCACAGGACCCCTTCCCAGCCAGTGCAGCCCCCAGGGCCCCCCCCCCCCACAGCCCTCTGGGTACCACGGTGGCACTCACCCTCCTACTCCCCTCCCCAGGGAACATTTTCAACAGCTTCTGCAGGGCTCCCCCCATGTCCATGTCCCGGTCTGTCCTGGAGTCCCTGGAGCTCTCCACAGGCATGAAGTGTGACCCTCGGGAAGGCTGTGCCCTGCACCTCCGCGTGCACGCCTCCCTCATGTTGCTTGGTAAGGGCGGCCCCTGGGCTGCCAGGAGGGAGCCGGGCCTGGTCTGAGGCTGGGCTGAGTATAATAACACCCAGGATGCCCAGCAGTGGTGTGGGGCTCCGTTTCGTCCTCACCATGACCTACGAGGGGCCGGGGGAAGGGTGGTGCTAACCACAGAGACTGCACCACCATCATGGGGGTCCCTGGGCTGCCCCCTGCCCTAACCGAGGCCCTGCCCACCTCCCTTCACCCCAGAGGGCCTGCGGGGCCTGGAGATCTGCACCATGAACCTGGACACCCAGGCGGCTCAGTGTCAGGCAGTGCGGGTGCCCAGGGCCTCCCGCCCACTTCACGTGGGGCAGCAGGTGAGGCCAGGCTGGGGTGGGAACTCCTAGAGGGCCCTCCCCACCCGGCCAGTTCAGTTACCAAGCCCTCACCTGCAGCAGCCGCTGTGCCCTGCCCTAATCCTGGCTGCTCCCATCCCCATCCTACCCTACCCCCGACCCCCATCCTGGCCACCTGAGCCACTGCCCACATGAGGACTCTGCCACCCTCCTCCCTGGGCCCCAGACCCATGTAAGGAGCCCTAACCAAGGTTCCAGCCACTTGAGGCCTGGCTGAGGGCGGATGGGCAGCTGGCCGGGTCTGCCCAGCTGACACCTGTAGCTGCCCCAGCTCCAGGTGGTCTTCGACTGCTTCGAGGTGAGCGTGGCCCAGCACCTCTATGTCACCTTGAGGACCATCCCCAACTTCTGTGGGGTGCAGCTGGACCAGCAGTACCATGTGGAAGGTGGGAGCCCCATGAGGCCAGCCCGGGCTCAGCTGCCATCTGGCCTCTAGGGACCGGCTTGGGGCGGGGCTTGTCCAGGGCTGGGTGTGGCAGGGGGAGGAGATGGGGTGGCCCCAGAAGGGCCAGGGAGGGGACCAGGGAGGGACCAGGGAGGACCAAGGAGGGACCAGGGAAGGGGCCAGGCAGTGACCAGGGAAGGGGCGAGGGAGGGACCAGGGACGACCAGGGAGGGACCAGGGAGGGCCAGGGAGGACCAGGGAGGGACCAGGGAGGGACAGGGAGGTCGAGGGAGGGACCAGGGAGGGACAGGGAGGACGAGGGAGGACCAGGGAGGGCCAGGGAGGACGAGGGAGGACCAGGGAGGGACAGGGAGGACGAGGGAGGACCAGGGAGGGACAGGGAGGACGAGGGAGGACCAGGGAGGGACAGGGAGGACGAGGGAGGACCAGGGCGGTCCACATGCTGGCCAGCTCCAAGCCGCCCATTTGGCTTGATTCGGATCATCACCTCCCTGGGGGTGGAGGGGGCCGGCCCATCAGCCTCTGGCGTTCGCAGACTGCAAAGACGAAGACGTGGCGAAGAACATGCCTGACTGCTCGGGTGAGTCTCTGTCCTCGGGGGCCCACAAGCCCCCTGCCCCTGGAAGACCCTCCTGCCTCTGGGGCACCCACATGTCCAGGCTTCTGCAGCCCTCGCCCCTGGGTCTGCAGGTGGGTGACTCCCAATGCCTGGGCCACACAGGGGTCACCACCTCGGGGCTCTCTCTGGCCCCAGCTTGGCCCCACTTGCCGCCCCTGCAGCCGAGAAGCTCACCTACCAGGTGAACCGCAGCCGCAAGGCCATCCTAGTGCAGGTGCCGGAAGCCCTGGGGAGCCCCGACTACTACGTGCGGCTCTGCCTCAGGTGGCTCGTCTGTGAGGATGCCGGCCCCACCGTTACGGTGAGCTTCCCCGGCGTCGCCTCCGCCTCCGCCACGCCCCACCACCCGCCCGGCCCCGAGCCCCTGAGCCCCTTCCCTCACTGTAGGTGTCTCCGAATGGGCTCTCCCGGACTGTATCTTTGCCCTACAGCCAAGAGCTGCCGTGTCTGTGCCTCGAGGTCAGCGAGGGTGCCCAGCAGGGTGGGGGCCGGCGGGGCGGGCGGGCTCCGCACTGACCGTGGCTCCTCCGTAGGGCTGGTCTTCAACCCCAGACGCAGTGCGGATTCAGACCTGCCCCTTTGAAGATGGCATGTGCCCTGTGGTCCCAAGGACTTCCCTCTGACCCGCTCTCTGTCCCTGGTGGCCTGGGGAAGAATGCCTCGAGGGGCTGGGCAAGGGCAGAGAAGGAGGTGGGAGAAAAATGGGAGGGAGGGAGGGGAGCAGGGACCCACAGGAGAACGGCCCCCATCCCATTCCGGGAACCTGGCCCAGTGGTCACCAAGCCCCATGAGTGTGGTGGGGACAGCTGCCTGAGCCATTGGCAATGACCAGTGCTGGTGGTCCCCGCAGACACTGAGGCGCTGTGGGACGCCATCCACTACCATCCGGGCAGCCAGGCGCTGACCTGGGTGCCCATCTGCCCTGTGAGCGGGCGCGTGAGCCTATGCTGGCTCCAGGAGCCCGGGACCCCGTGCAGCGAGCTGGAGCACTCAGGCCGGCCGGCACACAGCAGGGTGAGTGTCTCCTGGATGGCGGGGCCTGGTGGGATGGCCGCGCCCTGACCTGAGTGCCCCGCAGGTACAGTACCCGCTGGTGGACACACAGCCCCAGCTCTGCCTGAAGGTGAGTGGGCCTGGCAGCCAGCCCTGCCATCGCCTGTGCAAGCGGGAAGGGGGGGGTATAGGAAGAGCAGTGCAGGGGAAGGGGGCAAAGGGTCTGCAGCTGCCCCCCCACACCTTGCCCAGCTCTGGGGTCCAGCCGACCACCACCCCGGCCCCAACTCCCAGCTACCGCTAAAACTCCCTCCTGGACTGACAGTGGGCAGAGCTGAGGGCCCTGGGGAGGGAAGGCTGGCCCCAGCACCCCTGCCTCCACCTTGCAGTGTGCCCATGGCTACCCTGGCCCCCCAGGGACACGGTTCCAAGCTGGGCCTGGCCCTGAGGGGCTGACTACCACAGGCACACCCAGGGAGCCCCTCTCTCTGCAGTTCTCCACCCACGGGGGCTTCTGGGTGCGGTGTCCCTTTGCACAGCGGCGCTTCCCAGGTCAGCTCACATGGGGGGGTGCCACTGCCATAGCTCACTTGGGGGCGGGGGCAGGGCTGCTCCCATAGCTCACCTGGGGGCGGGAGGGCTGCTCCCATAGCTCACCTGGGGGGGGCTGCTCCCATAGCTCACCTGGGGGGGCTGCTCCCATAGCTCACCTTGGGGTGGGGGGGCTGCTCCCATAGCTCACCTCGGGGTTGGGGGGCTGCTCCCATAGCTCACCTGGGGGTGGGGGAGGGCTGCTCCCATAGCTCACCTTGGGGGGGGCTGCTCCCATAGCTCACCTTGGGGGGGGCTGCTCCCAGAGCTCACCTTGGGGGGGGCTGCTCCCATAGCTCACCTGGGGGCGGGGGCGGGGCTACTTCCGTAGCTCACACGGAGGGAGATGCTGCTCAGCCATGCAGTGTAGACCAGCAAATAGCATCCCTTACGGTGTAGTCAGCCACTGGTCGGGACTGTTCTTGAGCCAGGGCTGTGCCTGCCCTGATGGGTGCTCATACTGGTGGGCGGGGACATGGGAGGGACTGAGTCAGTGGGGGGGGCGCAGCTGGGAGTTCTCCCAACGGGGTGGGGGTCAGGGTGCTGGCCTAGTGGGCTGGGCAGTGTGCTGTTGGGGTGGAGCGTGATCTAGACCGGTGGTTGGGGGCGGATGGGCTGGGCCAGTGGGGGAGTCGGGATGGGGTGCTGGCTTGCTGGGGGGCAGGGTGGGGTGCTCCCCCGGTGGGGGCCTCATCCGTCCACCCGCCCGGCAGCCTGGAGGATGACGGTCCAGCCAGCACCGTCGCAGGGCTTCCTCCGGGCGACTTTCTTCTCCCCCAGCCCCGCCCGCTTCCAGGTGCGCCTGTGTCCCCAGTGGAAGCCCCTACGCCCCACCTGCCACCGGGCGCTGGAGACCACGTCCCTCCCTGCAGCCTTAGTGAGCCGGGTGGGGTGTGCACCACTCTGGGGAGGCTGGGGCCCCATAACTGTGCCTGTGGTCCTCTCTGCCTCCTTCCCCCTCCCCTCCCGTCCTGCCTTCATGGGCGCTGGGAGGGCTGCCACGGGGGCACAGCGCATACATGTAACACGTATGTGTGCACCTGGGATGCGGATGCAGTGTGGCCTGCTCTGCCTGACCCCCCCCTCCCCAACCAGGGTGACCCCTCAGCGGAGCCTGCTGCCGCCTTTGTGGACATTCCCCGGGAGGAGGCCTGTGCCCCCGGCATCTGTATCCAGGTGGGTGGTGCTGCCTGGCCCTGCCCCTCTCTGCTAGCAGACCTGGGTTTCCCCAGTGCCATCAGCAGACAGGGGAGACCCCCCCTCCCCAAAGCTGTGCCTGCGGCCAGCAGCACCTCCAGGCGGCCCCGGGGGACATGGGGCTGGGACTGAGCGCAGGGAGCGCGAGATGGTGGGTTGATGGACCACCTGGCGCCTGCAGGGCTGGAGGACCGACATGCACTTCTCAGTCCCCCAGCAGCTGTGCCACGTCCAGTGCGGTGAGTGCCAGGGTGGGGGGCTGTGGGGTGCAGGGCCGGGCCCAGGCCCAGCTGTGGGAGGGGAGTGGAGGAGGAGGGGGCCTGGGGGTCTGCTCAGCTGCCTGCCTGCCCGCCCCCACCCCCGGCCCTTGCACCACCATCCCTGCCCGCCCCCACCCCCGGCCTTCTGAGGGCTCAGTCCTCCCCGGCCCGGTCCTCCCCGTGTCCATCTCCCTGACCCAGGGGCAGTGGTTCCAGAAGGATGTGCAGGCCTGCATCCCCCACCAGCCCTCCCACAGCAGGGCTTCCTGGCTGAGCCTGGGTCCCTCTCCGCGGCAAGGGTCACCTCCAGCAGATGGCAGGCCATGGGGGTGGCTCTTCCCTGGAGGCCTGGTATTTGGGCAGTGACCCTGGGGACTTCTGAAGCCAAAGTGCCAATGCCGAAGCCATGCCTCTCTCCCCAGCCGTCACCCACGAGACCGCAGCCTGAGTCCCTATCTCATCAGGAACAAGTAGGTGCTGGGCCCGCACTTCCGTTGGGGCCCCACAGCCTCTGATAGCTAAGGCGGTCCCTCTCGACACCCCACCCCACCCTGCCCCTCAGAGCACGAGGAGGGGACTCACCTGACCCAGGGTGTCGGGCACAGGTGCCTTCCAGCAATCCACAGAGCCTCAGGGGCCGGGCCAGGGGCTTCCGGGTCAGCCCTTCTTGAGTGGCTGGGAGCAGGACCAATGGCTGGGTGGGCTGCCCCCTCCCCCAGGTGGCTGGCCCTGACCCGCCCTGTCTCTCCCTGGTCAAAGGCTCCCTGTGCCCCCGTGGCCTCTCGGACAACTCATGGACACAGCCACCATCACTGGCCCTGAGGACTCGGGCCTGACCTCTTGCCTGCCAGCTGCCCAGAGCACTCCCAGGGCCCTGGAGTGTCGGGTGACCTCCCTTTCCACAGCTGAAGGGCCAGGCTCATGGGGGCTGGCCAAGGACAACCTCCAGCTCCCACCCCAAGCACCTCACGCTGGGCCAGGGTCCACACCAAATGGCGCTGCAGATGCGGGGCCCCCAGTCCTCCCCACCCTGCCCACCCATCAAGGGTCAGCCACTTCCCATGCCTCAGGGTCACATGCCCAGGGACCACCTGCAGGATGTGACACACTCATACATTTCACAGTCATGGAGGGCCACCATGTGCTACCTGAGCTCCAGGACTACAGTGGACCCTCGTCTCTGCAGTGTCACACAGCGTCCCTGGCCAGAGGTCACCAGCTGAGAGCTGCCAACTCACATGAACCCAAAGAGCTGCCCCCTGCACGCCTTTGAGAGTCTAAGTGTTGTCTCCACCTGACCACTGTGCAACCAGAGACACACCTCCAGGGACACACCCCCAGGGACACTCCCCCAGGGACATGTAACCCCAGCCCTTCCTGTTTTGGCCCCTGAACCAGGAGTGAAGTGAGCTGCACTGCCATCCATGCCTGCATTCCTGCTTCCAGGCCTCTGCCCTGGCTGTCCCCCCTTCAGCTGGGACTGTTGCCCACGGTGAGCCCGCGCACCAGGGGACTATGGGTGGGGCCATCATGTACGCCTTGCCCAGTAAATACCTGTGCACCCACGCTCGGGGAACACCTGTGCACCCAGCTTGCCTCTACCCCTGAGGACAGAGATGGGTCAGCTGGAAAGATGGTCCCTGGGGGTTGAATGAGGGGGAGGAACACTGCGCAGTGTATCTGGTAAAGTGGGGCGGAGACCTCCACGACCCAGAGAGCATCGTGAGGGCCCCTCCCAAATGGAGTCCGGGGAGGGCTGGGCAGGGGCGCCCTCCGCCCAAACCCAGCCACTATTGGAGGGAGGGTGAGGTGGGATGAGGATATGGAAGAAGCCAGCCCCGCCCCTCGCCCCCCCGAGGCCCCGCCCAGCTGGACCCCAAACGTCCCAAAGGCTCGGGACACCGACACCCCCAACTGCCCCCCGTGTGTGTTGGGGGTTCACCCTGCCTCCAGCGACCCCGGGTCTCGGGATTCCTCAGAAGCCTCGACCCTCACATGGAGCAGGAGACCCATTGGGGTGGGGCCAGAATGTCGTCCTAGGTGAGGACCCTCGGGTGGCCGGCGCCCAGGCGCTCCCCAGGCCGCCGAGCCCGAGCGCCAGTCATCCCGGCCCGGTAGTGATCCCAGAGCCCGGCCGCAGCGGGCACGGTCCTGTCCACCCCGCGTGCGCAGCGAATGGCGCCCGGGAAGACTTCGGGACAGCGCGTGTCGGTGCCACTCAGGGACGGGATATCCCGCTCAAGCGTCCCCTTAAAGAGACAGTGAAGGGAGGGCATCCCGGGGAGCTGAGCCCTGCCAAACCAGGCTGGGAGTCGAAGGGCCAATTTGGGGCGCTTGGGCCAGACGCAGAGGCGGGACCCCGGGCTCTCGGCGCCCCCACCACCACCCGGGGCAGGGTCGCGAGAGTGGCGGCTGCGCTCTGTCCTCACCACCTTCCTCATCCCAGGGGACGGCGGTGGGGGGCTCCTCTGGAGACCCTTGCCTGCCCCTGGTGCCCCCTCCCCAGTGAGGCGCCGGGGGATGGGGGACTAGAGTCCGGGCCCCTGATGGGCCGCTCCCCCGCCCCTGGTCTTTCATCCAGAGGGGCCTGGGGCGCCGCCTGGCGGTGCGCCAAGACCACCCCCCCCCCAACCTCCGCCCCGCGGCCCTGACCCGGCCCAGGCTGCTCAGGTCGGGGCAGGAAGGGGGAGTCGCGGGGCTGAGCTCCCAGCTGACCAGATGCAGGCCCCCCTCAGGGCCTCGCCTCAGCCTTGACCGGCTCATAGATGCGGGAAACTGAGGCCCACGCCGAGACAATGACTGCGCTCGTCTCCAGAACTAAGGACTTCCGATTTAGGGGGTAGGGAGTGCTCAGGTCCAGCCAAGACCCGAGGGGCGACGGCTGGAGGACAGGCGCTGCTGCCACCAGGTGGCGGTCGTGCTCAGTGTCCCGCCCTGAGCCGGCCCCGCAGTCCTCGAATCCAGGTCGGGGTCCTGGAGCTACAGCAGTGCCCTACGGCCCAACAGACCCACTGTCTTGGTCAGTGATAGACTGACTCCCCTTCCCCGCAAGCCCCACTAAAAAACCCATCCCTACCCCAGGCCAGGCCTGCCCAGGAGCTAAGAGCTATTGAACTCTATTAGGCCCCAGGACGGGGGTGTGGGAGGCAGGTGGGTTCACAGTTTAACTGGGGTGAGCCTTTGGTGGTCTGTGTGACTCACTCATTCACTCATTCATTCATTCATCAAACACATGCTGAGCTCCTCTTGGGTGCTGCGCACTGCCCCTCATGGGAACAAACCCCACTGACATATACCCCCGTCCCTGCAGCTAGGGGGACCCACAGTCTGGGTGCACCTGGGACTGAGGGGTTTCTTGGGACCGGAATTCTCAGTGCTAACACTGGGACAGTCCCAGAGCCACCCTGCCTGGAGCTGACCTTCACGTAGCAGAGACAGACCGGCATTACGTGGACTGTTGAGTGCCAGTGTGGGGGTGTGAAAGAATTAGACAGGAGAGCAAATGCTGTGTCGGCAGGGGAGGGTCCAGGAAGGCCTCAAAGTGTCCTGGGAGCGAGATGGGCAGAGGCGAGGGCCTCGAGCTGCCTACTGTGACAGGGTCCCTCAATGCCCTGTCCAGAGGTGACCGTCACAGGGGCCAAGAGAAGGCAGGTGAGACATGGAGGTGTGGGCAGGTGGGTGGAAGTGTGGAAGGTGGGCGGAGGTGTGGAGGTAGGCCCTCAATGTAGGGGTGCACAGGTGGTGCAGGGGTGTACGGGTGGTGCAGGGGTGTACGGGTGGTGTAGGGGTGTACGGGTGGTGTAGGGGTGTACACGTGGAGTAGGGGTGTACGGGTGGTGCAAGGGTGTACGGGTGGTGCAGGGTGTACGGGTGGTGCGGGGTGTACGGGTGGTGCGGGGTGTATGGGTGGTGCGGGGTGTACGGGTGGTGCAGGGGTGTACGGGTGGTGCAGGGGTGTACAGGTGGTGTAGAGGTGTACAGGTGGTACAGGGGGTACAAGTGGCATAGGGGTGAGTGGCCTCAGCGACTGGAGTAAGTTAGCCAGGACGTCAGAGGGGCTATCCAGGCAGAAAAAGCAGATGAGGGAAAGGGAACGGAGGAGGTCGTGGGAGCCGAGTGGCCAGGGTGGGCCTCATGGAGCAGGTGACAACTGGGCAAAGATGTGACGGGGGTGGTGGACACTGTTGGGGGAAATAGTTAATAACAAATTTCTTCCCAACCCAGCAAATACTCTCCATGAAGGTAGAAAGAACTACACGACTCATTAGTGCCTCCACATTAAACCAGACTGCCACGGGCAGAGCTTGCAGACAGAAGCTCACCATGTCTGCAGCCAGCCAGACACAACCAATCACACGCGGTCTCAAGAGAGACAGCAATCTGTCGTCAGGAAGGGGCCACAGCGTCAACTGCCCACAGGTCATCCTGAACTCACCTGGTGGGCGGCAGCCCTCTGTGTTAGCCTTGATCCAAAGAGGAAATAAAATCTTCCGGGCAAAGGAAGGTGCCCGTGGAAAGGCCCTGAGACGGGAGCCTGCTGGGGTAGGGGGGTGGGGAGGGGAGCAGCCAGGAGACCAGAGCAGCCGGGGGGCAGTAGGCGAGGGTCAGAGAGGCGGCAGGTCCTCCTGGCCACTGCGCCTAAGGGAGAGCAGCAAGGATGGTGCCCCCAGCAGGTGAGAAGTAGAAGCAGCAGACTTTCCTGGAGGAGTGGGCGAGGGTCTGAGAGGGGGAAACTGCCCCGTTATTGCTCTGTGGGAAGTGAGTTCCAGTAGGGGGGCGCCAGGATTTGGGGAGAGCAGAGTGGGATGGAGGCGTGGGTGTGGGTGCATCACACTAGATGCAGAAGGTAGAAAGTTGTGGGGTGAGGGGAGGTGGGCTTGGGGAGGTGGGAGGGGTGGAAGTGCGGTGGGCAAAGCAGGTCAGAGTGCCTTGTGCCAGAGCCTTGGAGTGGACAAAACGGACTGCTGGGGGGTATTTGGGGCATGCTGCAGGAGGAGGGGATGTGGATCCAGCAGCCACCACCAGGTGTCTGGCCAGAGCCCACAGGTGAGCTGCCTGCGACTTTGGGGAGGGCGAGCCCCGCCCCATCTCAAGCCGTTTGGGGACAGGTGCTGGGGACAATCCAAGGGAGAGCTCAGAGGAGGGGCGGTGGAACCCCCCTTGCCCACCTGCCCCTCCAAGGAACGCCAACTCGGTGCCTTCGGACGGCGTCCTCCTCTGCCATGGGCAGGTCACTGCCCCCACCTTCGGCTGGGCTTCCGCCCCATGTCGCCAGCGCTGGGGCCGCGCGGAGTCCCCCAGGTGGCCCAACCTGGAAGGAACGAGGTGCGGGGCAGGGAGGGGCGGGGCGGGCCGCACAGACCTCTCCCCTCTCCCCTCCCCCATTTCGCCGTGGGGGTTCCTGCAGGTCTCTGCGGGCAGGCTGGGGAGGGTCGTGTCCCCCAGAGGGTGGCAGCCCCCGCACAGGTGGAGGAGGGGAGAGGAAGCAGCTGCGGGGACAGGGCCTGCGACCTCTGACCCGCCCCGGGGCCCGTCGCCCCCCCGGGCCCGTCGCTAGGGGAGGCTTTCCCGGGGGACGAGGCTCGGGTTGGCTTACAGGCCCTGGAGGGCGAGGGGAGGGCGTCGCATCTGTAGAGGAGGAGGGGGGCCCTGTGAGGGATCCCCAGAGCCCTGCTGGGGCGGGGCAAGGGCGGGGTCGAGGGGCATAGAGCCCCCTCGGCTGGCAGAGGCTGGGGCGGGGCTCAGGAGCTGCGTCTGTCTCCCGCCTGGCCCTCTACCGCCAGGTTCCGCCCTTATTAGGGGGAAAGGTCTCTGGGGACACACCCCTGGTCCAGAGCCCCCAGTCTCCCAGGACAAGTGTCTGTCTCGAGCCGCAGGCCCACCCCCACCCTGGCCCTCACCGAGATTCCCCCTCCCCACCTCAGGAGGAAGCCCACGGGACACCTCCCCCCACCCCCCCTGCGTCCCAGGTAGCTGCCAGCTCACAGGTGCTTGGGAGTCACCGCACGACTGCTTGGGGCCACCCTCTT